AATCATGAATTCGCCAGTCGGTCGGCAGTTGCCGCTGGGCGGTGACTGGTGTCACCATGCGAATGATGCGGAAGGGACCGAAAAATCTTGGTCGTAATTTATTTGGGAGGGGGGTTCCCAAATTCCTGGTGTCGTGCAGGACCAATTGTCCCAGGGACAAGTGTTAAGTCTCGGCGTCGTCGGTCAGCTTGCTGCTTAGCCCTCTGGTTGGCTTTTAGGTTGGCATCGGCGGCTTTTTGCTGAGACTGTCGGAGATTTTTCATGAACTGCTGAGACCTTGGTGCCGGATTTTCTATCGTGGTGATAGAGGGGTTGTCGGATCTCTCTCGTAATTAAGGAAGAATGGGGACTGAGTAGTCATGGCCGATGGGGCATTTTTGTACGCAAAATCGATCAATGGGAGGGCGTCTTCCCCATTGGGCCGGGTCTGTGCATGTCGTGCGAAGTAGCTGCTCCATTGTCTGGTTGGTGCGCTCAGTGTGACTGTCCGATTGCGGGTGGTACGCCGTGGACAGATGCAGGCGTGTGTCGTACTGCTGCCATGTTTTTGTCCAGAAGTTGGACATGAACCGTGGGTCACGATCGCTGATGATTGCCGATGGGATGCCGTGTAGCCGCACGATGTTCGTGAGGAACAATTTCGCCGTCTGCTCGGCAGTAATTCCCGTCTTGCAGGCGGCGAAATGGGCCATTTTGGTCAATCGGTCAGCGACGACGAGGATCGTGTCGTTACCGCTTGAACCAGCTGGCAGGCCAGTGATGAAGTCCATCGTCACTTTGTTGCCAGGGTCGGCTGAGTGGCTCGAGCGGCTGCAGTAATCCAGCAGGTCGAAGTCGAAAAGACTTCATGCGTTGACACGTGGCGCATGAGGTGACGTACTGCTGCACGTCTGTTGGTAGGTCGGCCAAGTAATAATTACGGCCCTGTAATTTTGCGGTTTTGTCGAGGCCGTAGTGACCTGAGAAATTCGAGTCATGTGCCTCATGTAATTCCCATAGGGTACGGTAGGCGTGAACCCAAATCCGATTGGAATCGGATTTTAAGATAATAGGCCCCTTGCTTGACCGTCAGTTGGGGATGACAGTTAGTGGTGAAGAATGGGTCCAATACTGTATCCGTGGGTGAATAGACCAGTAAGTAGCGGATTAGCTTGGGTAATTAGGACTGCGACGGTGTGGACCGAGGGGCGGGTCAGTGCGCCAGCGATGTTGCTGACCCCTCGCTTGTAGGTGACTCTGTAGTGGAAATTGCACTCGAGGTAGTCGAGCCAGCGAATCTGTCGGGGATTCAGTATCGGTTGGGCGCAAATGAACTGTAGCAACTTTGGTCTGTTCGGATTGTTACGTCTGCGCCCGTCAGGTAGCAGCGCCAGACTTTGGAAGCGTGAACGATGGCGAGTAAATCCTTGTCATGGACAGGATAATTTCGCTCGACCGGTTTCATCTTTCGTGACTCGTAGGCGATCGGTTGTAGGCCTTCGCCGAAGTCTTGTAACAGGAGTGCGCCAACGGCCAGATCGCTAGCGTTGGTGATGAGCCTCGAATGGACGGTGAGGGCCTGCAATCCGAAAAACCGACGGTGTAGTCGGGAAAAGTTTGAGCTTTTCGAACGCAGCCTGTTGCTCTCCCCCCCACCAAAAGATACGTGCCCTTCTTCAGGAGATCCATGAGGGGAGAAGTTACCCCCGCCATGTTCGGAATGAAACGGCGGACGTAATTAACAAACCCCTGAAAACTCTGAAGTTCGCAGAGATTAGCCGGCGGCTTCCAGTCTTGGATTGTCGCGATTTTCTTGGGGTCGATTTTAACACCGTCGATAGAAATCACGTGACCCAAGAACTCCAGTTCGTGTTTCAAAAAACTCGCACTTATAGCCCTTGGTGATGGAGTCGATTTTGCTGCAGGAGAGAGAAAACGACTTCCAAATCCGTTAAATGCTGCTCCCAGGTAGTGCTGTAGACGAGGATGTCGTCGAGGTACACGATGACGCACTTATCCAATAGCGGCCGAAAAATCTCGTTCATGGTCAAATGGAATGCCGAAGGCGCGTTTGTTAAGCCGAATGGCATGACCGTGTACCCGTAACTCCCTTACCGTGTCCGAAATGACGTCTTGTAGCAGTCAGTTTCGTGCACGCGAAATTGGTGGTAACCGCCTCGCAGGTCAATCTTCGAGAAAACCAAGCCCCGTGAAGTTGGTCGATGAGGTCGTCAGCACGTAGGATGGGGTAGCGAGACTTGATGGTAAACCCGATTCAAGGCTCGGTAGTCGATACACATACGCAGACCGCCATCTTTCTTCGGGGTGAACAGGATCGGAGCTGCAAATGGTGATGTGCTGGGGCGGACGAAACCTTTCTCGAGCAGGTAGTCCAGCTGGCATCGAAGTTCATCTAACTTGGGCTGAGTCAGCGCCATTGGGTCCGAACAGTAGGCTGCGCGCCAGGTTCGAGCTCGATTTTGCGGTCATGCGGCCGCTGAGGTGGCAAGCCGGCTGGTAGGTCATCTGGAAAAATATCGGCGTGCTTCTGAATCACTGTTGCCAAATCATCCGGGACAGTTGCACAGAGTTTGTCGATGTCGGTCGGCGTGTCGCCAGCCGTTGATGCGACCCATCGGACGGCATACAGTTGCGCTCCTCGAATCATCGCGCTTTATAGTCACTGTGTTGACCGTCGATGTTGTCGACTCTTGACTGCTCCACTTGGGTAGCCGTCGTCACTCGCCACTCCACTTTGTGCGACAATCGCCCATCTGCCAGTCGATGCTCGGTTGTATTCGCGCAGCCAATCGCGTCCCAGCAGCATGTCGCATCCGTCCAAACGTGTCGCCAGCATCTTCGTCGTGAAACTGAAGTTTTCGCCACAGGTGACTCACACGTGAGGCACGCGCTCCCGAATCACCAGTGGGGTGCCGTCAACCAACCTCGCGTCGATTTTGGGCATGCAGCGTTCCAGCTGCAATCGGAGTTTCTTCGCCTTTGTCACATCCATCAAACTGTGGCTTGCCCCACCATCAACAAATATTTTGATGCGGGTGTCGCCAACTCTTCCTTCAACCAGTACAGGGCGATCAACTGGTCACCCCCCTCATTTAGTCAAGAATGGTCGATATCTTAAATCGGCACTATAGCTTGGTGGGGGTGTTGGCGTTCGGGGCGACGCAGTCAAGTCAGTCCGTGGCCCATCTGCTACTGACGATCTCCATTTCCCGATTTCTTCTCGTCGTTAGCTAAGTTCTTCTTCAGTTGCGGGCTTTCCCTCACCATGGTGGCCCGACTGGTTGTAGTGGAAACAGCATCAGGAAAATACCTGGGCTGCAAACACGTCCACGCCGTTGATTGATGTGTGTTGGGGCTGGCCTCGAAAGCGATTTCCCTCCAGGAAACCCGCCCTCGCGGGTCCACGCCTTGCGTCCAGTGCATCCGCGATTCTGACAATTTCGTTGAATGTTGTCGAGGCTCGCTGAACGATCTCTTGCTGAATCTCTGTCTTGAGACCACCTACGTAGCGATCGATCTTATCGTCTTCGCTAAGCCTCCCGATTTGATCACATAGCGCCAAGAACGAAGCCGTGTATTCTTGGACAAAGCCCAACTGTCTCCACATCCGAAGGCTTGTGCGAGCGTTTTCGTGCATGGATATGTGCTCGAATCGGATCTTCAATACTTCGCCCCACGCTTTCCACGTGCGGATCGTGGCCGACCCAAAGATCGGTTCCGCTTGAGCCGTTGATGAACCGTGCTCCCCATCTACCGTCCGTTGATTCCCTGCCGGGGCTCCTCCCTCGTCTAGATGCATGCGCCATCAGTCGAGTGCCGGTCCCCTCAGCAGCGACACAGCCAAGTTGACACGTGACGGGTTGTCATTAATACTTGCTGCTGTGAAGAAGATTTACATGGCGAACAGCCAACCGCTCACTGTAGTCGTTCTGTCGGTCGGGTTGAACGGCGGTGGCATCCGAGGTTTGATTTAATGGCCGCCCGCGGTTCGCTGTGGACTTCTTCAACTACTTCTGGTGTCGCCGACGCCCCCTCGCTTCGCTCGCAGCATCTTCGTCTCGGATAACAGGCCGCCCCTGACGCGTTTCACCCCGCGTCTGGTGAAGCGACGAGTTTTCGTTCGCAGCATCTGCACTTCGCTTCCCAGCGACTCGAACTTATCGGCGAGTTGTTGGAGCTGGGCCTGCAGTGTCGTCACTGTAGCCGCCCTGACTTGCAATTCGTCAAACTCCTCCTGGAGTCACGTTCCTAACACTACGACGAGCAGAGGTTTCCGGCGTAATAGACATGCTGGAAATTTTACCTGACATATCTGAGGGTGCACACGCTTCTAGTTGGAGGAGCTTTAACGAGCTCACCTACCAACCGCAGGCCAACCCTCTATTATGTCGGGGCCCTCTCCCGATATAAACGGACTACTCTATGGAAGACTAAGTAGGCAGGAACGGGGCTCTGATACCAGCTGTTATGAATTAATCAGATTAACAGGTAGTGTAATAAAGGAGTCGTGCTTCAAGAGTGTTGATACAAATGAGGGCCTAGGCATTTATTGACACGAACAGAGCTAGCCCGAGAACCACGCGAACAGGTTGGGGCGGTCCGGTTGGCGAAAGCTACGGAAGCGCCGCGCGTCTAGGTTTGGGTTCACGAAGTGGTTCGGGACCGAAGATTTTGGCCGAGCCTGGACTTACGAGAGTCGAGGGCGTACGCGCTGTAGTAGAGCCCAGTAAGGAAAAGGAATTTCCTTACAAGCATGTAGAGGGATTTATATTGAACGCAACGAACTTGATCTTTCGCGGCCAGAAACTGGTCAAAAGTCCACAGTCCAAACCACTTTTGCGAGCTGTGTTCTGCTGCCCCCCCCACTCTCGGGTTTGCTTTTCTCGTTGGTGGATATCACCATTTCCCCGCGGTTTTCCCCCCCCCCGCCGCAGGCAGAGCCAGTACACTAGCTTGAGGTCCTTCCTGCTGCTTCATCCTGGAAATTATCGACTGCCAATCCAACTGCCTCTCCTCACTCATCATTGTCCCACCTTACTGCCTTCCACCTAATTCAGTTGTACGGAACATACTACCTGTTCGTCGAACAACCCTAACTTATGTCATCTCATGCTCAGGAGAAACTCTACTGTGTTGCGCGATAGTAAGTACAGTACCATAAGTTATTATTTCTTGTAGCGTGCTTCTTGGTTGCGAGGTAGTCGCATTGCCTCGTCGCGTTCGCAATCATGTCATAAGCTTATCAATCCTTAGCGGCATGCTTAGCCTTTCTTAACTCCGTCACTGCAATCATGCAGCGAACGGACTCGTTCTCTCGGCGCTTTAAGGAGGACACGGAATGACCGCTGCTCCTTCTTATCCTCGTAGCCGCAGCACGGGCCAATCTAACAGCTACAGACCAGCTGACGCGGGTTACAACAGCTACAGTAACTACGAGCCAGATGCGGGGGGTGACAACTTCGACTTCGAGGAGACCACGTGGTCTCCCGCCCTCTCTTTCCGGCGGCGAAATCGCGCGAGATCGACCCACCCGTAACAACCATCGGCGGACGCTGTCCGTGTCGTCCGCCCTGCGGCCTCAAATCTACCACAACTTCCACGACGCGGGCGAGAGCCAGGGCGTAGGCGGGAGCGTGCTGGGGCTCTACGGAGAGCTGGGCAGCGCGGAAGGGGACCTTTTGCGGCAGCGGAGCGAGAAGGCCGCGCGGATCCCGTCTTCGGCTTCCACTCCCAACGCGTACGGCCACAGAGGTCGGTCGTCGATCGCGGCGTCGCTGGATGCGACAGGCAGCAGCAGCATGGGCAGCGCCATGGCAGCGCCATGGG